TTTTCCCTACTCCACAGCTACCTATCTCATCCTTGGCACCTGACATTTCCTCATGTTAATTCCACTGGAAGAAGATTCTTCTCTTTCCCCCATTATTTTGTGTTTCCTTATGCTAAAATGATACCACAGGCAGAATGGCTTGCCTGGACAGAGGCGAAAGAAGGAGTTATGAAGGTAGAAAATGGGAGAAGAAAAGAAGGGAAAGGTAAAAGAAAGGTATGAAAAAGGGAGAAGACTCTTAAATTAGGTAGGGGGAGGAAGCAGGCTGTACAGTGGGCACCAGAGTCGATAAAAACCCAACTGAGCTCTACAAATGAAAATAGCAAATATTTTTTAAAAATTTTTTACAGCATATAAAATCGTATAAAAATATCAAAGCAAGAAATAAAGGAAAATGTATAGTCTACAGTTTATCTCTAGAATCAGCTACTGGACGATACCTACAGCTGTAGGTTTTTACTATAAATCTATGTATATTGGTGTGTGACTCTGTCTCTGTGCCATCATACTTATACCCACTCAAAGACAAGGACACAAGTATACAAATACCTACCCCAAGATAGATCATGACAAAGAAGCAAAGACTCTACAATAACGTGCTTCCAGGGCAATCTACTTAAAAGCCAATCCACAGCTACTGGGTTTTAATGAGCTTTATTTTAAATGAATTACCCTGCACCATAACCTGGCAGAGAAATTCTTCTGCAGGTTAAGAAGGCCGCTCCCATGAAAATATATGGGTTCAGTGATCATGGCTGAAGCCGACCAAAGGTGGGAGCCTCCATGAGGGCACCCCCTGGCCTGCTCCAGCCAGCATGCATCTCCAGAGATGCACGCTCTTCCCAAAGGAGGTTGAATAAGTGTGCCCCTAGGGTGTTGAAAGGACCCACACACCACCCGCTGCTTCTCCTGGCTCAGTGGATAGCAATCTACACTGGGTCCAAGTTCATTGAGGGAAGCCAGCCATGGCCAGTGTGGATCCACTTCTACCTGGGGAACAGGATCCAGAATAAATGTAAATTCATCTCAAGTACATCTACAATATCTTAATGAAAAATGGGAGAGGTGGGGGCAGATTAGTTAAAAGAACCAGGAAGTAATAATGTTTAAATGGATTTCCATGAATTTTTCAGTGTCGGTCTCCCACGTACCCACCCTTGTTTAATGTAAAAACAAGGTGTTCTTTCAATGAAACAATCTTTGAGGACTGCAGACTTTCCTAGAGAAGTATGCAGTCTCTTACAAATGTCGAGAACATCCAAAGGACTACTTCCCATCTTTTTCTAACCTCTCTGAACCCAAATTAACTGAAATCTGTCAAATGTTCTAGGTGGCTCTGCCACCATTCTAATCTACTCTCACTCCAATGCTCAGGGTCTTTGACAAGAGGAAGTCTTAACTGAAATCTGTTCTTGGCAGGGGTAATGTGTCCCCAGTTCTCAGAGGGATGTTTCATAGAAATATTGTGCCATTCATTACAATTTTTTTTTAAAGTTCACTTTCTAAGTGATAATGAGGCCTTTAATGCTGGAGCAATATTGATGAATTTTAAGTATTACTTTCCATTTATCCACACATAAGATCTAATATAACATCATTATTGCACCATTATGTTCTTTAATGTCCAATTTTCTGTGGTTCAGTGCTGTACCAACCATAAGATCAGCAGAGCAAAATTGGGCCATGATTCCCCACACCGCACATATAGGATCTCCTATTTGCTGCAAGACACTCCACTTTTTGGATTTTAACTATTTCAACTTGGATTACAAATAAGTTCACTGGAATTTCATATAGATCGGTGTCATCATCCCTTTTGGAAGAACAATTTCAGATAAATCCTGTTTTGTTCTGTTTTTATTTTATTTTTCTTAAATCTGAAAGCCATGGAGAAATTTTTATTTTTATTTTTTTCATAAACTTGCTCTGACAATTTTCCCCAAACCACCTGCAATTTCTATCCCTTATGATAAGCTCCTCATGTCACTAGGGTATGTCTGCATATCCTTGGAAAGTAAGCCTTTAGCGATATGCTCGGCATAAAGGAGATGTTGGGCTTTGTTGGCACTCACAGGTGGAGAGCGGAACACAGCTAGACAGTTGTGCACCCACTTCCTGAATGCTGACTGTCTCTGGGCCGTGTTCGGTGGTGGTTGGGGTGGAGGGAGCAGCACTGCTGCTCCCGTTGGGATATGTGGGGATCTCAGAATCAGAACAACGTCTCCAACTGGAATATCCTTTATTGGGGACATAATACTGCATACATAGGCTTTAATCTTAGAATCTCTCTCTCATTATGAGAAAAAGACTTACTGCTTTTTTTCTTTTGTTTTTCCCTATAGTCCACAGAGGACATTATGAAGTCATGTTTATCATGTCTCTGCTCAATGGTGAAGAATAGAATATATATTCTATCTATCTATCTATCTATTTATCTATCATGTGTCTAAAGAAAAGTGATCCATCACAAAGGGATACAAAAAGACCAGTATTCTTACTTCCAAAATATGGATTAGGATTACAAAATTGGTCTCCATCTGTTCGTCTGCCTTCTGCCTCATATCCCATCATAATGTTGCTCTTGACTTGTTCACTCTCCAAATTTACTAAAGGCATGGTTCTAAGTGGAAAATACAATACAGTGGCTTTAGTTCTGCAAATGAAATAAACAACCTTGCTAGATTCTTCTTTGGTTCTCAGATGTGTAGATACTATTTTACTGTTTAAGTGTAACAGGCCTTTAATGGGATCCTGTCAGATGTTTTCAATAGTTTTGAAAAGCTCCAAGAATGAAATGGGTAATGGAAGAAAATCCATTTAAATTTAATGGGCTAGAAATGAATCTCTTGCCTGCTGCTGTAAGTTATTAGGGCTCATAACCCAAGGAAGGTTGGCATGAATAAAAGATGGAATGAAGACCTCCCAATGGATTGGTCGTTATGTCTCAAAACTTACCACATCCACAAAACCTGGATGTGGAGCTCTTTGGTGACATAGGGTCTCCCAAACTTCAGGGTCAACTTCATTTGGAAAGTGTTGCACCCAGGGACAGGTAGAAACTGTGGTTTGTCTCTGGTGGAAATGTCCCTTTACTGCTGATCAATTCTTAATTCAGGTGTGTAAGCCCTTGCTTTCTGCCTGACAGTGTAATACTGAGTAAGATGCCAGACTCCAAAAAAGGGAATAATGTGTATCTCATATCGCTGCTCCTTTGGAAGCTGTTTCAAAAGAACAGAAAGACCACAGAAAGTGCACCAGAGCTTTGGAAATATTGTTCTTCCAGTCAATACTGACTGGGGATCATAATGTCAATGTTTTATCAACTCCAGTATTAATTAATATTACAATAATACATTGGTTTATATTTTCAAAAAGTTGATAATTTTGCAGTTTTACTCAATGCCCCTTCAAAATAATTTTTAAGGATTTAAAGATGAGTTACATGGAGTTTTGCTTCTCCACAATGAGAATTCCAAGCAGAGTTCTATACTGAATGAAATTCTCTTCCCATTCTTTTTCAGCTAATTAGTGACTTAAAGCAAATGGAAAACATTACCATGTCTTTATTGTTGCTAGAAAAAATGGCTATATTCCTGTTTCTTCTTCAGATCTTGTTTAGTCTCACTTGTTGAGTATAAAAGGGAAGTTGTAAGCTTTCTATTTTGACCAGCTGCAAAGCTCTACATACAAAAGTACAGAACAGAAATGAGGTATAAAGTTCAGGTTCCAAGATGAAAAACTGGACATGCCCTGGTTGTATTTCCTTCCTATACAAAACCATAACACCTCAAAGAGCATAGTTTGCATCCCGATATCCCATGGATGGTGTGCAGGTCCTAGGCATACTTTTTTCAACCAGCACAGTCTTTGGAGATTTCTGAACTCATTGCCAGTATTTAAATATTTGCAGAGAGTTTATATAAAATCCCAGGTATCTAGGACCACCTTTCCTACATAGCACTAATCCTGTTGCTGACTAGTAACTGCCCTGTTTCCATAAGACACACCTCAACATACAGAAAGCTCCAACTCCTCACAGTCCCTACTGCTCCTTACTGCCTCACTGGTACCAACTGCCATTGATCACAGTAACTTTGATATTACATGGCTTGCTTTACTCATTTGCTCAACCTATTAGGCACCTGGTTTGAATTTGTGACCACATTATTTATTGTGGTCACTGTTCCAAAGGCAGAGGGAACAACAGAAAAATATGTGTTATTACAAGGCAAAATGTAAATCTGACCAGAGAACTGTGTTTAAATGTCAGTACAAACTGGGCATTTGATGCAAGAGTTCTTCAGCTCTTTCTGTTGGGGAATATTTCAGTGGGGCAAGAGGCCCTGTAGACTACATACACAGTCTCCTTTCTGTCTGAAGAAATAGCAACGTTTTGCTTTAGTAATAAGAAGATTTTTTAAATGTTTGTTTTGGTGTTTTTAACGTAGAAATTAAATCTGCAATGAGGAATACACGTAAGCCTACCATCTAGCTTTCTCTCTCTCTTCCTATGATTAACCCCCACTCCATCACCAGCAGAGTCATGGGGTTTCCCCTTGGGAAGGACTCAAAGATTCCTTTGGGAACCATAACCACCTTTTAAGAATCAGTTTTATCCAAATCACACCATTTAGACTCATAAAATTACCCTTACTTAGATTCCACTGGATCCCATTTTTGACTTGAATTCAGGGGGTGAATCTTTATTCTCTTTCCATGCTACATCCACGATGCTTTCTTTTGGCTTGTGCTGTTAATTATCTTCTATGTGTTATTTTGAAAGACTCACTAAAATGAGAAGAGTTATTTGACATATCTCCCTGATACTAATTCCCTTAGCACTTCCCTGAATAGAAAGAAGAGTGATTAAGTGAAACCATAAATATCCAAAAGAAGAGGACCGGCGAGTGGTAAAAATTTCAGTAACCATTTAGTCATGGATGCTACCCAATGAAAACAATGTGTCTCCCACCTAAACAGTATGGTCATCAGCGGAAACATTCAGGTTTCTATTAATGAAAGCACAGATAAATTAAGCATTTACAAATAGAGTCCTATAGGATAATCTCTTTAAAAAAAAAAAAAAAAGAATGTCCTATATAAATGGAAAGACAAGCATAAGAACAATTTTTAAGTCTGAAAGAAAACTGGAGAAAAAGAATGTTCCAGACTCAGGAAAGAAACAACCAGAGACTGGAGTCATCATCTTAGCTGTGATGAAGTGCAGCACGGCTGTATCCACCATCAGTAGCCAGTTAAAAAAATAACAATTTAAAGGAACAGCATCGACAGTAGTAAGATGGCAATTACTGTGCATGTGGCTTTTTCAGGCCTCCCTCAGCATATCCAGGATGTCCATCCTCATCAGGCCAGACAGGCGCCTTGAAAGCCAGGGCATTATTAGCAAAGAATTCTGAGGAAGTCCCTTCACGTTTTGTTTCTGTTTGTGCAAAAAGCTCAAGTTGTTTGGTTTGCTTGGGGGAGGATTTCCCCAGAGTTCTTAGACCTCAAACCAGCTCCCAGAGAGCCATCTCTTGGAAGGAGGTGGCATGAGGGAAGGCCAAGTGTGTGTGTGTGGGGGGCTGGTTTCTGAAAGTTGGACACCTTCCCCAGATAGGGGTCTCTGTGGAAGGAGGAGAAGGAGAATGAAGAAGCTTAGCTAAAATGATGCAAGACACTGGCAGCCTCTTTTATGGTATGTGAGGTGTGTTTTACTCTTCTGAATCTGAAAAAAAGAAAAAGAAAAAGAAAAGTGTCAATGCTGCCTTTCCCCCCACCCTTCTCCACCCGCCGGGTCTGAGGAGAAAAAAATCTGAGGAACAAAAATAAGGGGGGGAGGGGAGGATCAGTTAAATATTTCCATACTAGTCATTGCTGTCTCCTTTGTAGCACCGTTTGCTCTGTTCATAAAGGGAAACTCTGTGGAGAATTTTAAACTAACTGGTTACATTCAAAATCTTAATAGTTACTTTCAACTTCATCATCAAACATTTGGTTCATGCAATATGGATACTAAAATACCTTATTTTGAACCAAGATGACAGTGCCTGCTGGATCTGGCCAATATGCCTCAGGGGTCAGTGGGATTGGAAGAAATCGGATTCATCAAATCCCAACCATTTCCATACCAGAAGCAATGTTTCTCTCTTAGAATTTTTGCACACCCGCCTACCCCTCAGAAGCTTCCCCAAGAAGATTTAAAGCAAGATGTATCCCAAGTGAAATCATTATTCAGATGGGTAAATCACCTGACTTCTCTACTGGACCCAGAGTGAGGTGGTGGAGGAGGAAGACAAGGATGGAAACAGGACTTAGTTGATGGAAATAGACAGTACTGGATTTTTTTTTTTTTTCCCCACATGGCATACTCTATCCCATGCAAGCTCACTAGGCTTGGACAGAATTTCTAAAAAGCCAGCAGACAAACAAAAAGCATATGTTATTGCTTCCCAGGAATGTTGCAGGGTCTGTAAGTTATCATGCCTTATAGTTAGAGATGATTCCCTCCTGTGCAGGGAGAGGAGTACAGTGGCTTAGATTTTAAGGATAACACCGTTTTCCTAAGGAAATGTTAGGAGTCGCTTGTGGATAAGCAACATTTCCTATTCAACTTGAAAGACTGAGATACTGTCCTAAATGAGAAGTAGTTAAAATTAGGCAGCGACCTAGTTGAGAAATAGGAGAGCCCTATCTGATCTTTTGAAATTACTATCAATTTTCAATTTTCCAGGAGTCATTGATACGATCGATCCTCCTGTTGTTCCTCTTTCTTCATTTTGGTTCCATGTATGTTTACTCTCCGTCAGCACCTTCACCCATTTGGCAGAAGTAACAGAAAAGAGAAAAACTTCTGACCAGTTTAGTCTGATACTGGCACCGGCAGTTGAGGGAAGTCATGGGTTGCCTCTCTGGAACTTGCCAGTGAGGGAAAGGGGTGAAATAAAACCTGAAATCAAGGACTAGAAATTTCCCCCTGGTTCTGATCGCCTGCACAATTTGGTCTGGGTGGCAGTTTCAAGGCAGGTCTCCTCCTGAGTGCTTTGGCCCTGCTATTACGCATTTGAGGTCATATGTAATATGCTATGTCATCATAGCACTAACTACCCTAGGAGATGTCCCCAGCCCCCCAAATATAAAATCCAATTTTATTATGATGATATAAGTCTGAGGTTGATTGTTTAATAAATGACCCATTGGTTGGAAGGATGCTAGGGAGAGCTGACAAGGACCAATGTTACACCAGTGAGCCTCAATCAGCCAACAAGGGAAGTGATTCACATCTTCTTTCATGTGAACGGTAGCCAGCTGTCCAGCCTGCGGGGTTCCAGAGATGGAAAGAAGTCCATTTAGGACCTTAATGGACCCCAAAGGCCTTTGAAAGAAGATCTTTTTCCTTTTCCAGTCATTGCTTCTGAATGAGATGGGAAGTGACCGGCTGTGGATGTCCACCCTCCCTTCTGCTGTCTTCTGGTCAAGGGATGGAGGGAAGAGGTAAATAAAGGAATCGTGTGTCTAAGCTGCACCTGTGTTCATTAAATACAACCAACAGTAAAAGCTGCTCTGTAGCTGGGTCTGGGACCTGCATGACTTCCTAGCCTTCCCAAACACAGGTTCTCCCAAAAGTAGTTTCTGTTTCTAAATCTCTTAGGGCATTTGCTGTAAGGTGTCTCCTATCACAGCTACCTACAAGATGTAGGTTCCTTGAGGGCAGGAGAAACATCACTTATCTTCCTAACTCTTTGCATATATTACAATGCCTGACACATTGCACATGCTCAACAAATTATTTTTTTTAATTGAAAGGAAGTGAATTAAATAAGTATCAGGTAGATGGGACAGATACAGAAGCATAATGACGGGTAGGAAGTCTCTCACCACCCTTTTTGAAAATCTTTTCATAGGAAACAAAATTTAAGAAGAAAATAAAAAATGTATTTATTTTATATTTTATTCAATAGTAAGGTAGGATATGTCAAAAGCATGTATTTCCTTTGGAGAATTTGCCCCACTGTAGAGACTAACACCCTGGAGAAGGGGCACCTGTCATACATGTGGCTTTGATGTGGTCTGTAAATCAGGCTTGCTCCCTACTCATTCCACAATTCCTCTGAGTGTCCTATATTTGCTCTGTTGTGGTTGGGTTTTGCGTCTTAGCTTTCAGTTTAAACTAAAATTGGACAAGCATTTTAAGCTAAAATTGGGTAAGACCACAAAGCATTAGGAAAATAGGTTCCTGAAGACAAGTAAGTGGCCACTCTGTATTTAACTGAGATAAAGAATTATTTTTTTGTTCTAGGGTCTCTGAATTTCATTGATTGTAAATCTACATTGGCTTTTTGGAGGCCACAAAAAGCAGTTAAACTCAGCCACCTATTTATGATCTATAAGCAGAAATGGAAAATATCTTCACCTAACTTGGGATACTGCGAGAAAATATTTAAGGGAGTGCCATCCACCGACCCACCCCGCCCCTTGACCAAAGACTTCTTGCATCTCTCAAAGGGGCAGCCATGGAGGATTCAGAAATCCTGAGGCACAGGCTGTATGAATTCACAGAACCGTATTTACTACAACGAAATGCACAACAAAAAATGTTTCAGCAACTTCATTTGGAGAATAAAGGAGGTGGAAATTGACAACAGTGTGGCCTTGTTTATTCCACTCTTCCCACGCTACTCCTCCTACAGGTAAGTGGAGATGCTGTCTGAAACCATTCGGTTTAAAGATAATTGTTTTAAGAAGAGGCTTAAATTTCAATTTAACGTGATTTGACTCTTAAAATGTGTTTATCTGTCATAATGTTTATTCCTAGATCATCTACGAATCTGGCACCAGGCTTGAAAAACAACTGTAAACACTTTTCTTTTTCATTTTTCTTGGTTTTGATTTTTTACAGCCTGATTCAACTATCATCCAAGCTCAAAGAAATAAGCTGACTTGGCTGAGAACAGAGCTGGGATTCAAACCAGATTTTCGAGTTCCAGAAACTCTACCATAGCTGCCTCCTTATGGAGTCAACTTTCTATGAAAATAACAAAATACAGTAAGCAATGGAAAGGAAGAATAAATGTGGCAAAATCAAACCCAATTTTAGATGTCTAGTAGAATTTCTGTGGGTTCTGGTTTCGTTTGGTTTTTTAATAATGAGGAAATGCTAAAAACAAACAAATGTTATTTTAGATATAGCTGTTAGAATTTATCCAGAGATTTCACTGTTTTAGGTCTTAAGTGCTATTTTAAATGGTTATCCCTAAATATCCAAAAACATACACTGCCTGCTTTCTCCCTGCCCCAAATGATAACGGATATGATTACAGTATGATTGTTTTAAGTTAATTTCACCGCATGTAATACTAATGCTACAGCCCTGCTAAGATAGATGGGTGGATGGATGGATGGATGGATTAACAGATGGACAGACTAAGTAAGTAAATTTACGGGAATATTAACTTCCCGAAACCTTGCCTATGCCAACACGATGAGATCTTAAAATTTACCCATTTGATCCAAATTCACAGAATAAGAACAGAACAAAAGATGGCAGTTTTTAGCTCCAACCCTCGCCCAATTTTTTCTTTTCTTTTGATCCATGGCATCTGTGCTATCACTGCGAATAATGATGGTATTAAAGTTTTAATCTCTAACTTTTCTGCCTTCTCTTTCCCTTTACACAGCATGGTTTTTCCAAACTAAAATTCTGTGAATAACTCTCCCTCTCTGCCCCACACTGCCCAAGGTGTTTTACTGTTGTTTGTCTCTTATTAAGAAATTAGTACTTTAATGCCTAAGGAAACAATGAAAACATTTGACTCTGTAAGTGCTCCCAGGCCTGCCCCACTCTTGAGAGGTAAGTAAACAGCAGGCAGCAGCAGCCCATACCACTCCTTGGTGCCGGTGAGACAACCTAGAATTGTCTGCATATGAAAGTTTTTATTTCTGACCAGTCTTTGAATCTGCTGTTTTTGAAGCCAACAAGAAGCCAGAGACCACAGAGACCAAGGAAGTCCTTCAGAGAAAGTGAGGCTAGAATTTTAGACCTGAAACATTATGACTGCTCTTCATGTTTTCTCAATTTTATTAGTTCAGGAAAAGCAATGTAAGATTCAAAGTAAGTGAAAGAAGAAAGAAATATTTTTTTCTCAAGTTTTCACTGTGGCTCCAGAGTAGAAAATAAAAATAGCATGTATGATAGAGGGCTAATATTTATGAAATACAGATGTCACTTGAAGATTGTGGTGCCCTTCTGTGGAGAATGCTAAGAATAAACACAAAGAGGAAGCTTCGATACTTGCTTGATACTGCATTTTTAACGGTTCTCCTAGTGTGTGGGTGTCTAGAAAAGAAATGGCGTTAACAATGTAGACAGTGCTAGCTCCTGAAATTGGCACATATTTATTGCAAAGGCAGCTGTTATTTTAATGAATTTTTTTATAATGTTAATAGAGTTTCTTTTGACAAATGCATTGTTACTTGTCTTCCTCCCACTCCCTGTGTAGAATCTGACAAAATCTAAATTTTTAGGGGGAAAATAGATAAATATTTATTTCATGAATACTAAGAAGTTATTTTTAATCCTGAACATCAGTGTTGAGGGGGAAAAAAATCACATTTTCCACAGTTCCAAAATTATAATCCTTTCTGTCAGACTGGGTTCCTTTAAAAATACAATGGTACATTAAGAGTGTAACGAAATGTCTAGAAGATAAAGTGAAACAACGAAAGCTT